ATACCATTCAAAGAGTGGTTTTTAGAATGGATCAAGGAAGCTCCTGACGAAAAAGCGATTGATCTATCAATCTTTGTTTTGTGGGAAATCTGGAAAGAGAGAAACGGCAAAGTTTGGCGACAACAACTGGAAGATAGTCTCAGGATGTGGAATTCAATCAAACAGGATTTCAATATACATCTTAATCTTTGCAGGAAAGCCAGAAATAGCAAACAGGAAAACATAATCCGAGTAGAGGAAATAGCTGGAATGGATGATTTCAACATGACGACAAACAGCCACACTATCAATTTTGATGGATCCTTCATTCCGTGGACAATGCAAGCAGCTGGTGCATGGAAAATTATCACTCATCAGGAGATGATACGACAAATCAAATCCCGAAAATTTTCGGCGCTCTATCCTTTACAAGCGGAAGCACAGACTCTGCTCAATGCTTTACAAGAAGCTGCAATGCTGGATGTTCAGAACATTCATGTGCTCACAGACTGCGAATTCTTAGCGAACAAATTAATCCCGACTCAATCACCGGTTGAAGTCTAGGAATTAATTGCTGAGATTATTAAAATTCTGGAAAATTTTATCTCATATAGTATAACTAAAGTTCTCAGGGAAGTAGTAGATGAGATGCATATTATAGTCCAGGTATTACTTAATCTTTAATATAAGCAGGTAACCTTTTCAAAAAAAAAAAAAAAAACTTCCCAAAGAATTAATTTCTCAATTTCCCAGAAATCCAAAGTCAAACGAAAGCCCAGATGGAAATTGAAATGGAAAATGCATGGAAAAAGAGGAGATGATGGATTGATGGAAAATTAAAAAAGTCTGTTCAGCATTTGTGCTTTGTTATGAACCCAAAAATAAAGATTCCGTTGCTTTTTTTTTTTTTTTTTTTCACGTTCGGGGCGTCGCGTATTTTTGAGCGGGGTGATGGAACGATAAATCAAAGTGAGAAAACACGGTTAACGTTGTTGGCTCCTTTGTCTTAAATTTTCGTGTTAGAAAAGGCTTTTTTTTTTTTTTTTGGACCCTTTTAAGAAATTTCTCACTCATTTAACTTATTGTTAGAGGTATTGATTTATTACGACTCGACCATTTTAATGTCTGACACGTTTATCATTACACTTGCGTTATTTTGATTTTTTTCTTTTTTTTTTTTCCATTTTTTTGCCATACTTGCGTGTGTTACACTTTTTACCGTTTGTGACGTATCTTTATAATTAATATATAGAGACATCAAAATTTTGAATTCTACTATACGAAGTGTACCACCAAATTTGCAAGGTATTTTTTTTTGGATAACAATTTCTTTAGTTAATTGGAGAAAAAGTAGGTAAATAATTGTGTTAATTTGACCTTTTTGAGGCATTTCTAAGTAATTTAACTTATTCTTAATGAGGAAAAGCCATAATGGATCAGATCTGACATTTTGTCGTTACACTTGCGCTATATTCTTTATAGTTTGACCATCTTTTATATTTATGTATCTACAGGTGTATTTAGTATTAATATTAACGAAAATTAAATGTTCAAAATTTTAGTTTAGAAAATGTAACACGAAAGTGGCACGAAATATTTTTTCGAACAATTTGTTTAGTTAATTTTTTCTTATGTGTATTGAGGAATAACATCATTGATTTTACCTTTTTGAGGAATTTCTCAGCAATTTAACTTGTTTTTAATGAGAAAAATCCATAACGGATCGAACACTTTTACCGTCACACTTGCGTTATATTGTTTCTAGTTTGATCTTTTTACCTTTATATCTATGTATCTGCAGGTGGGCACGTGTATTTATAATTAATATTAACAAAAAATAAATGTAAAATTTTATCTTAGAAAATTTAACACGAAAATGGCACGAAATATATATATATATATATATATATATATATATTTTTAACATCTTGCTTAGTTAATTGTTTTGATTTACTTTCATATATTCTTTGGATAAGGGAAAGTAAATATTCGAATAGTTGATTTTTTGTTCTTTTAAATTGGGTAAAAAGAAATAAACACATGGCCAACTAACACAATTCACACTTGATCCTCAGCCTCTCCTCGGAAAAAAGAAAAAAAAATTGTTCAAGGTGTTCGAGTTTTAACTCTCCTGTTAAACAGCCAAAAGTGCTGGTCTTTTTTTTTTGAAAACTTTACCAAATCCTGAAAGGTCCAATTGGGAAATCCCGCAAGTCAAAAAACATTGTTTATTTCTTTTCACCCTGAGAGGAAAGAAGCATATACCGGGGAAAATATGATTGAGAAAAATTTAAAGATTTGATTATTATTTTAGAATATCTCTCAGAAATTAGATTAGCATCTACTATGTCATAGTAAAGAGGTAAGAGAAAACAGTTCGTATTTCGCTGGTGGTTTAATTTGTTAGGAAGATTACCCAACTGGAAGTCTATATTGTGGCGGAAAGGGCATAAACTCAACATACTATGGAAGCGAATTCCCAAAAAAAATTCCTTTCCTGCTATCAATAAAATAGTACAATCAACCAAACCAACCAAACAAGCAAACAATTAAAGAACTGATTAATAGGCGCACGAATTTACGTGAAAAACTCAAATTGGAAAAAACTACGGGACTTTAACAACAGTCAAATTTCCACTATCACAATAATGGGAAACAATCTTCACAAACCGGTGGATATACAGGACTTCACCTAAAGTTGGATTACAACAATACTCTTCCACACACACCTATCACAAAGTAGGACTAGAAAGATCTCACCAAAAGAGAGTTAAACAGAAAACTAAACCAAAAGGCTTTTAGATCTTGTTAAGAGGAACCAACGTGCAAACTTGCACTAACAACTGACTCTGTTTCGTCACCCGATCAAAATCTCAAAGTGAAACACTTTCTTTTACTAAATTAAAGACCCCATGATTCTAGCCTTCTTTCTATTTTCTCTCGCACAAAAACAAGACTGTGCGGCTGCCCAAATTTTCTTCTCTCTCGACTGGAAAATACACGTACAAAAGGAGTAGAGTGCTGCCTTACTTTTATAAAGCAAAAACCAAGACCAAAACCCAATTGAAGTGGGTTTTATTTTTCCGGTCAAAAACTAAAACCAAAGCCGACTTTGGTTTTATTTGTTTTCCTTGTTGGCTCAATTGAGGGGAACCCGGGCCCAACAGTCTGGTTGTTTGTTCCAGACTTCCAATTGGGTAATCTTCCTAGCAAATTAGACCATCTGTAAAATAATAAATAAAAAAAAGAAAACAAAAAATCAACACATATCCCCGTCCAAGGATTGAAACATAATTTACCAGAACCATTCACACATAACTTTCAGAAAAATATTCCGAAATTTTCAGCAATAGAATCAGAAATTCAAAAAAAATAAAATCAAAATCAAAATCATTAAACTCCCCCAAAAAAAAAAAAAAAAAAGAAACTTAAGGATAGCAAATATATGTACCTGGAACCTTCTCATAATTGGATCTGATTTCCACTCTGATTCTAAGATGATAAGAGATGAAAATTAAACATTAACTTAGTGCCATTAGTTCCAAAATGGAAAAAAAAAAACCCAAAAAAAAGACCTGATTTTTCTTTCATTTCATACTCAAACGTCTCCTTAGAATATAACTCCACCTGAAAAAATCATCCATTTTTCAAAGCTAAACCCCTCATTCCAAAAATAAGGAGAAAAACACACAAAATCCTAAAATCTTGCTCCAACCGCTTAACCAAAAGTACAATTTTCTTGAGGATATGCATATGTTTTTGAGTAGTATTTTGGTTTTTTTTTTTTTATAATATATAGTTGCAATTATAGTAGGACTCTTTTTTTAAAATTAAGATCACCGAAAATCCAAAGAAGATATGATTAACAAATTTCCATATAATAAGTTGATTTAGATACAAATACGAAATTACGAAGATTAAAATTACTGTAGTTAAATTGGATATATAAACCAATCTATTCAATTTCAAGATTTTTTTTATTGTTTACGAATTTTCCGATTTTATCTCTGCCCATATTTTCATCAATTGCATCATCTAAGGACTTTTTGGTTATAAAATAATTAATTATTCAGGAAATTGAAATGATAATTTAAATTTGTGAGTTTTTAAATGTTTAAAATTATAAAAAAAATGTGAATATGCCATATAGGATTAATCCTACGGATTTCTATCTCTGGACTTTGTCTTAGTGATATATATATATATATATATATATAGATGAGTTGATAAGTTACATCCATCTTATATACTTTTCTAAATGTTTACATATAAATTTTGTATTTACATTTACTGTAAGAACTGATAAATTATCCCTTTTTTCCCTTTTTTGTTTTTCTGAATTAAATATGAAAGCCAAAAAATAAAAATAAAAATAGTGAGTTTGAACGAGCTTCATTGGAACTCAAAAACAACACTATCAATGTGTTTTACCAGAGGGAAAAAGGAAAACTTATTAAAAAAAAAAGGAGAAGAAGGAAACAAGTTTCATCTCAAATTAATTTGCCATGATGAAGAAAATATATATAATTGACCAATCAATTTAGAATAGGGAGTAATATAATAAAATGAAAAGAAAAGAAAAACAATAAACGTGTGAAAAGCCTAATTCGGATTTCTGAAATCCATAGCATATAGTTTTGTCCACATAATTTCTGGAATGTTTTTTTTGTCCAGATCCTTAATGTGCAAATATATTTAAAGAAAAATTCCTTAATATGTTAGCAGCAAAGAATTTCTATGCATTTTACGTTATTATGACCCATTTTAATAGCCCACGTTGTCATACTATATTAGTGTTTGGGACTGATGATGAGCACTTCTTCAAAGGGAGTATTTTTTTAATTTTTTTTTTCAATATTTTGGGATTGATGACGAGCAATTGAGTATTTGAGCGCCATTTTTTCTGAATAATTTGATTCGATCAAGTTGAGTGTCATTTATTGAACGAGTAATAAATGAATAATGTCTTTGCTCTGTGAAATGTGGCGACCCAAGCAAAGATTAACGGGTACTGCTGCCAAATGGAACGAAAAAGAAAGAAAATCAATGTTGGGATTGAACATTGGAGCAAGACTTCATGTATGGAACCTCAGCCAGTAGGGAAGCACAAGAAAAGCAACAATTCGGAATCCGAAAGGAGTCCTCTAGTTATTGGAGACTCCCGTTTTCGGAACAAGTTCCGGGCTAACGTTGTTTGCTCTGTTAGTGGTAGTAGTAGACAACACCAGATACTAGCTTCCAAGGGAAGCACTAGTGCAGAAGAAAAAGAAACTTGTGCCCGAAAAACTGAACATGGTGGAGAAGCTGTTAAAACTTGGATTGATGATGGCAAGTTTCCTGAATTCACCAAGAAATCATTGTCCCCTCTTCAAGATGTAACCAACACTGAATCTTGCAAAGTTGAAAGTTGTTTGAATCCGAAGCCGATTCTGGAACAGAAAGGTACTAATGAAGATGTCGAAAATGAACGGATGGTTGTGAGGAAGAGTGAGAATGTCGCTGCAGCCTCTAAAGCTTCAACTTCCGGACAGAGATTAGAAGACAAAGATAAATGGATACGAGATCGAAGGCGAGTACAGAGTATACTTGGTGCTTTTCGTGAGTATCATGACATCTTACTGGAGGAACATGAAAAGAATAGAGGATGTAAAAGGGTTGACTTTGAAGCAGCAAATTGGGTAAGAAGAAAATATCTTCTTCCTGCTAAAGCTGTGTTAGGACCAATTCCCGGCGTCGAGGTTTGCGATCGGTTTAGTTATAGGATGGACCTCCAGTGTGGGGCATAGATTTCATGTTGGACAACAAAGGGAGAAAGATTGCAATAAGCATAGTTGATTCCGGAGTGTATGATAACTGCACGAGGAGGAGTCTAGAAACCTTGATCTACTGCGGACATGGGGGAAATCCCAGGTGCAGAAATGGCAATCAGCCAGACTTAGCAGAAGATCAAAAGCTTAAGATGGGGAATTCTGCACTCATGAATAGCATCCAAACTAAGAATCCTGTGAGGGTGATAAGGGGAACCAAAGTGTTAAACTCCCGTAGTTTCTTTTGTGTTGGACTTTACACTGTAGAGACAATGTGGAAGGAGAAGAATTCAAGAGGAAACTTGGTTTTCAAGTTCAAATTGGTGAGAATGCCAGGACAACCAAGTCCATTTCCTCGGAGAATTCCCAAAGGTAATTTGTTTTTCTTCACTAAATTGCTTCATATATTTATGTCTACGCGGATGATTTTTAGTATCAGTTCAATAAAAATGTATTGGCTTATTACATGTTCTTCATGAAATGTATTTCTGATTTCAAATACTGTAGTTCTTCAAGAAAACTAGGATTAAGAGCAGTAGAATGATTTGAACTCCCGCATGGGATTCATCTATTTCTCCGTGTAAATGATAAGATTTGTCTGATATATCTTTTGTGATGGATCATTGCAGTTTAGTAGAGGTAGCAAGATGGGTGCCAGCATTTTCAACTGAAGCTTGCTCTGCTAGGAGTAGATTGAATTTGAACATCAATGGCACTTATATCATGAATGCATGTATTTAGAGAGTTTGCTTTAGACAGGATATTCGCTCTGATTCTTTTTTTTTTTCTTTTTTTTTTGGTTCTAGGGAAAGACCTCAAAACATTTGCATAGGTTTTTAATCATGAAATATCAATTAGTACTAAAAAGATTTCATTTTCCAAACTGACGATAACCCTTTAGAAGTATGAACATGGTCTCTAAAACCTCTGTTTTCTTAGTCAACAAAGCTCTGATTTCTTTGTCAACACAAACAAAATCTTAGTTTGATCACTTGATGATGATTTGGTTCTGTTGCTGATCTCAGTTGAGGAAAAGGAATTGATTTATGAGAACATATCAAAGGCCAGTCTACTGCTAATTTAAAATAATTGTATATTTTATAGTTTGCAAACTCGCGATCTTGGATCGTAGGATCCTAAGTATCTAAATCGATCCTGGATCAATCAAACTCGAATTTTGCAGTGGGATCGGTCAGGATCGGTTAGGATCGATCAGGATCGGTTAGGATCGTAGGATCGGTTCGAGTTTACTATTCATCAATTATAAGAAATTAATTGAGCTTATTGAGATTTTTCTTTTTTCTTATTTCTTTTGGCTCGCATTCAATTGAGGCAAAGATTCCTTGAGAAAACTTTTATTGCTAAGAAAAATGTATTTTAGAAAGTTTTTCTAATAAAATGAAAAGAAGAACTATAAGAGAAGAGTTTTATTAAAAAGTTATGAAAAAATTCATATAAATTGAATTTACGCAATTTTTTTTGTTTAAATCTTAAATACTTTATGTAAAGATAATTGAAACTTAATTATCAAAGCAATTAATTATATAACATGTATAATTAATTTTACGATCCTACTATTCCGATCCCATTTACGATCCGATCCTATGACTCCATTTCGATCCCACATAGGATCACGATCGTGCAAACACTGGTATACATCAATCATCCGAAACACTATGTTTTGCATTTTTTTAGCGAATAAACCCTCAGATTGATCCCATACATTTGCCCAATCAATATTTTTGTCCCGTACATTAACATTTGAAGGGATTGGTCCCAAACATTTATATCCGCAACTATTTTTGGTCTCATTTCACTATTTTTGTACCTTTTCCGTTCGGCAGCCACTACAATCAGGGGTATGTTTGTTTTTTTGTTAAATCTCAATTTTTTAATTATTAAAATATTTATTTTAAATTATTAAAATATTATTAAAAATTAAAAAATATTTTGAAAATTATGTTATTTATTTTCACCCTATGAACAAAGTTAATTTATTTTACTATTCACTTTTTTTTCTATGACCCACTGTAACTTTGACCATTGACCACTACAGTAAATAATTCAAAATTCAAAATTTATATATATAAAATAATATTTTTCACCTAAAATTTTAATCCGTCTTAAATTACTTTTAGAGGAGGGTTAAAATATCTTTAGGCATGTTATATTTTTAGATTGGTTAAAATTTTTACGTGGATTAATAATATTTTTATGTGTGTTAAAATTTTTAGGCGGGTCAAAATTTTTAGGCGGATTAAAATATTTTTAGGCGGGTTAAAAGTTTTAGGTTGGTTAAAATTTTTAGGTGGGTCAAAATTAATTTTAGGCGGGTGAAAATTTTTAGGTGGGTTAAAATATTTTTGGACGGGTTAGAATTTTAGGGGAAAAGTATTTTTTATTTTTTATTTTTGAATTTTGAATTATTTACTGCAGCGGTCAATTGTCAGAGGTACAGTGGGTCATATGGTAAAAGGTGAATAGTAAAAGGGATTAACTTTGTTCAAAATGTGAAAAAAATGACAAATAATTTTAAAAATATTTTTTAATTTTTAATAATTTAAACTTAATATTTCAAGAACTAAAAAATTTCTTAGTTAATATAAATTAAGATTTAACAAAAAGATGAAAATACCCCTGATTGTGGTTGCAGCTGAACGGAAAAGGTGTCAGAATAGTGAAATAAGATAAAAAAAGTTACGGACATAAATGTATGAGACCAATTCCTTCAAATATTAATGTACGGGACGAAAATGTTAATTAGACCAAATGTGTGAGACCAATATGAGAGTTTAATCTTTTTTTAGCCTATAAATTCTCAGTGTATCTATTCATCGGTTTAGATGACTTCTAAGTGGCCAGCCCAAGTACAATCTTAGTTGTGAATTGGATAACTCGATGAAACTTGTGACTTTTGTTAATACGGGAGTACCATTACCTAAACGTAATTGTTAGTTTGTTATGCTTCAGTATGAAGTGTTTTGCTTTCTTAATAAGGAAAGTGTATTGCAAAAGACACATAAAAATTAGGAAGGTCGACAATTGTACAATATTTGTTCCTCTAATAAATTCCCCCTAACTCATTCGGGAAAATTGTGGATAGTGGTGTAAATAAATAAATCTTTTTCCCTTAGTGCTAGACTGAAAGAGAGAGAAGGGATGCGAGAATGAAGTTATGGTTACCACAGGAATATCAATTGCGACTTCTTTAGTAAACTTGAGGGTTAAAATGAGAATTCTAGAAAATAAAGGGGTAAATGTAAAGATGTTAAAATTTATATTTTATACTCCCTCCGATCTTTATTATAAGGCATTTTGATTTTGTCTTACCTTTTACCTAAATGTCTTTTTAATTGGAAAAAAATCTTAAAAATATATTTTCACATTCGTTGTAATCCCTTAATCATTAGAAAATGTTTTTAAGGTTTTCATTTCAATTAAAATGACATCCTGAGTGAAACTTAGGACAAATCAAAATACTTTATAATAAGGACATAGTACTATTTTAGAGTGGCTGAATTTTTAGATACACAAAATACTATTTTATTATCTCCTCTACAAATAATTTCCCAGATTTAATGAAGTAAAAATAAAGAGAAAACGGTCAACTCCATTTCAATGGTAGTTCAATGCTTAAAATCGAAATCAGAAAACTCCCTCCATATGTTCCAGATTTCGTACTTTATATCTAGGAGGAAGAATTATCAACCTTCGAAACTTTATGGGTTTTTCGGACACAACCTCAAAATCCAGCTCATTAAGCCCATTTGTTCACTCATATTCAGTTGAGTTGACGATCTATTTGTCTAAATCCCTCCAAATCCCTTAAATCGAGAAGTGAGATTCTTTCTGTGATTAGGCTTTGATCAACCAAGTCTTCCATCATGGAGGGCACTCGATATATGGAAATCGGAGGTCAGATATCAAACAAGCTCCTGCTTTTACTTTCCACCCTTCTTTTAATTTTTGTTTACAGTGCTAAATGCCTTTTACTTGAAACTGTTTACTACTGGGATATTTGTTTGATAGACTGAAACTTTGATATGCTAAATTAGATTGGCCCTTTTTACTGTTTGACAGGATTGTTAATTTATACTTTGCAGATTGCATCTAATTCATTGGTTTAGTTGAAATTTGAATGGGTAAACCCAATTGGTGCTGTATTTCAGTTTACGGAGTTGCAGCTGGTTATCTTTCTATATGGTCTATCCTTACTGGGGAATGTCTAATTAGCAGTATTTGGATAAGTGGATGAAAGTTATCATCTTTATAAATGCAATGTGAAAGTTAGGATCCTTGTTAGTGCCTAAAAGTAGCAGTTTAACTTCAGCAGATAGTGTTATACTTACAAATTAGGAAGGGCTTCATTAGGAACGTGTAATGTTATATCCATATCAGGAATGTCTGCTCTGGAACTTCTAGTATAGACAGTTGAGCATCCTCATTCCTGTCATAGATTCCTTTGAGGTTTTTCCTGGCTAAGAATATTTTTTTGAGTTGATACTTTTTTTGAGAATATTTTCCTTAACAATTTTTTTAAAGAAAAATACAACAATTTGGCAAATGCTCGAATTAGTACAATGCATATTTTCCCGGGGGCCCATTAATAAATAACATACTAATTTGGGAAACTGTAAGTATGTAATACATAAATCCAAAACATATAGGATCCGAATAAATGTCCTAAAACTGACAACTTTAATTAACTCGAAAATGAACAATATGGTGAAAGTTTTTATTACGACAAAAGAAAAGTCGGACATGTGACTTTGGTTTTGCACGAAAAGATTGTATATTCCTTTCTGTACTGTGGTTATTTATACAACAAGAAATTGGCTCCCTTCCTAATTTACATAGACAATCATAAAGTTGATTATCAATCAAATAAATAATCCTAATCTAATTAAATCACAATCAAATCATCCTAATCCTATTACAATAATGACCAAATCACTAAAATCATTTCCCCCCCTCAAACTCAAGGTGGAATAGTAGATGACAACTTGAGTTTAGATAAGAGATCATCAAAACGAGAAGGAAGATGGGTCTTGGTAAATATGTCAGCAGTTTGATTGGCAGAGGAGACTAGAACCAAGCAAATTGTGCCACGAGTAACATGATGACGGACAAAGTGACAACCAATTTTAATATGCTTCTTATGTTCATGGAAGACATCATTGTGAGAAATCTGGATAGCACTATTACTGTTGCAGTGAAGCATAGTATCTGAGGAGTGTAGACTCCCATATCAGCTAATAACCATCTTAACCAGAGTAGTTCAGTGGCATCCGCGAGGGCACGATACTCAGATTCAGCACTAGAACGAGAGACAACAGTCTGTTTCTTGCTACGCCAAGAAATAAGAGCTTCCCAGGAAAAAACAATAACCCGTCGTGGAGCGACGGTTAGTTGGGTCGCCAGCCCAATCAGCATCAGAGTAGCCAGATAAGACCAAGTTAGACTTTGCAGAAAAATGCAATCCATGGAAAAGGATACCTTTAACATACCGAAAAATTCGAAGAACTGCCACAAAATGTGTTGACCGGGGAGCAGACATAAACTGACTATCTAGATGAACACCATATGAGATATCGGGGCAAGTAACAGTGAGATATACAAGACTCCCAACTAGTTGATGATAAAGAGTAAGATTAGTCAAAAGAACACCATCAAGAGGTGCAAGCTTACAATTGACCTCAAAAAGAGTGGAAACAGTTTTACTATTAGTGATGCTAGCGCGA